ATCTTTACCTTTTTACCTCCCTAGTTTTCTTTGACCTTATTGAAAACTTTCTGAAATATGTGTTTCCCCAGTTGCATTTCATCTCATCTGTGCTCATTGAAATACCTTTTTTTTTAAATGGATCTTTTAACAAGAGGGATATAAGAGTCAATGGATGAGGATGGAAACATGAAGTTCAGATAAGGAAGCAGGACTCTTGGGTGGGATCCTTGCATGAGAGATTGGAATACACATTCCTATTCTGCAAGGCCTCCCAAGTGAGACGGGATGGCCAGAAGGTCTGTTCCGCACTGGCTATAAAAAGGTAAACCTAGCTGAACCCAAAGGAGGCAACATGTGTGTGTGTTCATTTTTTGTGAAAACCTACTTTATGTGTATTATAAAAATATTAGGGCATCCTTAAATGGGGTCTGTGGACCCTGAGAAATTCTATACAAAAGGTTTTTGTATGTTTCTGGGATCTGTAGCTTTGATTAGATGTACAAATAGATCAGATCCATCTCCCATCTCCCCACCCCATCTCCCAAAATAGATTAAGAACCTCTGCCATAGAAAGTGGTGGCTAGAATCATTTAACTTTGTGGGTATCTGGTACAGAGCTGAGACTAAAAGGCGGGGCAATGGAAATGGGAGGACCTGCAGACCTAGCTGGACACTCTAAAAGCTGCACCAGTACCAAGCTGTGTGGTCGCGAGCAAGCAGATTAACCTCTCTGAGACCTAACTGTAAAATTAGAATAATGATAGTTCCATGCTCATAAAGTACTTGTGAGCATGAAACAAAATGATTCCTGTAAAGTGCTTAGCATAGTGCTGGGCGCATAGATGCACTGTAAACATGACATTGTCATCAGTGGCAGCATCAGTTTCTTCTCTATCAGTCTCCCAAATGCATTAAGTTGCACAGAGTGCATGGTGATATTGCAGACCCTGCTTTCCTGTCTTCAGGACAGATCCACATGCTTACGTTATGCAAGTGAAGGGTTTACGCTCCAAAGGTGAATACTGTAAAAATGGGAATAGTCAGAGCCCTCTGTAACCTTGAGTGAAGGAAACTGAAGGAACTTGGACTGAAGATGACGTTGTTTAATGGCTCCTGCATTTGGTTATGTCACGCTCCTCGGGCGAGGACTGCTGTTCTCTTCCAGCACGTGGGCTGCAGTAGTTAGTAGGGCCTTTGCTGTTCCCAGTGGCACCGTCTCTCGTCAGCTCTCACAGCTGCGTTGTATCTCAGCTTCTGTCATGACAGGTGACTTTCTTCACTGTTCCTGTTATCACCACCGCCATCATCCTTTATCACTTACTCCATGTCCTCCTCTTCCAGCTCTTCTTTAAAAATAAGACATGAAATGCCAGTCCTCAATCTTGATAAACATAAAATGCATCTCACATTCATCCTTCTTCTGTGCTCTTCATTCTCTGGACACATTAGTATATGGACTTGTTCCCAAAAGTCAGTAGAGATGTCAATGTTAATTTAGGAAATATGTCAGTGTTACCCCCCCCCCCAAAAGGTGCTGATAGGCTATTCTAGAGTGTATTAGATCACTGTTTGCCTCAGTATTTTAATTAAAGTTGAAGTAAATAAGTGTATCGGATAAAGATTTTTATAAGAGTGCATTTTTCAGTCACCATAAAGCATGATAATAGCTTTAAAAGATCTTGCATTCTTGGATACTGTGATGCTATTTGCACCTTTAATCCAAAAATGGTGAGTTCAGTGCCTCCAGAGCTTGAAGCAGGCAGCCCCTGAGCAGCAGTGTTGTGTGTGAACCGAGGGGCTCTGGCTGCAAGTCCTCCTGGAGTCCCCACAGAGCAGCGCCTGTGGCAGCTGTGGGTTTATAGGCCCCTCCTGTAAGGTAAATAAATGGCCCTCTTTGCCCCAGACAGGGAGACCTGCAGGGAAGCTAGGTACTAGGATGGTGTCAGACATGCTGCAGCATGGCCTGGCCTGTGAGAAGAAGCAAGCGAGGATTCATCTGTCTTCCAGCTGTTCCTCCTTGGGAATCCCAGGGCTTTTGAAACGGGGCACACTCAGAGACCTGAAAAGATTACGTCTCAGAACAAATAAGATGAGGAGAGCTGTGAGCTGTGGCTCAGAAAGAGGAGAGGGGAGGCCGTGAGTACAGAAACGGGGCTGTGATGGGGGCTCCCTGGGACCTGGCTGTGCTGGGGAACTGCAGCTCCTCGGAGCAGGGTGCTTCCGGTGTCCTCTGGGAAACACGCTTTCTTTGCAGACAGGGTTTTCCGCAGGAAAGTCAGCTAATGAATGGTTTTCATTCCAGGAACATGGTGGTAAATGTCATACCAGGAAAATAACTGTTTCAGTTTTGCTCTGTGTTTGCCTTTGGACGATGCGTATAAGCATGGAGCGTAATTATTCAGGACCTTCACTCTCTTCTTTCTCTAGCCTTCCTTTTCTTTGTTTAGTACGACTGCTACCACCATCACTACTACCACTAAGCAAGCTCGGTGCATCAGTCCACCTGTTTGCGGTAAGGTGAACAGAACAGAACTTGAGCCCTGTTTTGTAAACTTGCCCGGGGTCACTCAACTACTCCATGGTGAAACTGGAAACCCAACCCCATCTCTAGTACTCTTTCTACTGCCAGAGGGGAGCCCCCTTCTTTCCCCTTCAACCCTTCTTTCCCTTTCATTCCCTCTCGTCCCATCCAACCTAGGAAGTAAAGAAGGTGTAAAACAAGCGAAAATCATTCTCTTTCTAATTCACCTGATTAAACTTACTTGGTGTAGGTCACTGTTTTGCAGGATTATTTTAAGGAATGGTCACAGCCATATTTTAGTCACTTTAGAAGTCAGTGTTATGTAAATCTTAGCAGAGACAAATCAATAAATGGTGTCCAAACCCAAGATCTAAAGGTGTGGTGTGTAATATATTAGCTACTAGCTATGTGTGGCTATTTGAATTTAAATGCACGTTAATTAAAATTAAATAAATTAAAATTTCAGTTATTCAGTTACACAAGCCACATTTTAAGTGCTCAATAACTGTGGCTCGAGGTACTGAATTTTTGTATTGAATTTTAACTTATTCACATTTAAATTTAAATAGCCACCTGTAGCTAGTGGGTACTGGAATGGAATGTGTAGGTACAGAACACTCCCATCAGTGCAGAAAGTTCTGTTGGCTAGCACTGATTGCAAGTCCGTAGCAAAAGTACTGTGATCTCCTGGCAAGCTGTGCCCCCTCTGACAACACAAATACTTCACAAGCCTTGCCTCCCTGTGACCTCAGCTCATGGGCAGCATGGCTTTGCTTTAAAAAAAACAAAAACAACAACACTGCCACGTGACGGCAGTAATCCACAGCCAGTAAACAGCTGGGCAGCAGGGTTGCAAGGAGGACTGGCCTGGTTTTGTGCACTGCAGAGTCCCCAGCAGGAAAACCCAAGACAGGAGGCAGTGGTGACAGCTAGACCCACTTCCTGGTCTCTTTATTCATGACCCAGACCCCTTTGATGCCTCACAAGTGCAAAGTTCTCTTCCAGAATATAGGCATCTTCAAGCCAGGCTCTCTAATATATTGATAGTGACCCCAAACAGGGCCAAATATCCAGAGTCTGGTGGGTCACAAGGTTGCAAGAAGACATTACTGTTGGATAAATTCCAGATTTTACAATGAAGCATGGGACTGTGGAGCTGGGTGATGGGGCTCTTGCTTATGGAATACCCAAGGGCGTGTACAGCTCTCTGTCCCATGTGTGGTGCTCGCCCAGCTCTTGCATAGCACTGAAGTGTGTCCTCCCTCCCTACCCACTTCCCAATGACCTCCTGAAATCCAAAATGACTTCTGGAATAGCTCTCAGAGGGAAGTGGCAGTTTTTCTGACTCCCCAGTCTCTCCCATCGTGGGAAATATGTTGATGTCACTGATTTTGGGGACAGCAGAGAATATTTAGTCCTACTCTCTTTAGTGCCTGGAGTACCATGCGCATACCCTGACTGTTTACTACTCTACGATGAGTATTACTAAACATTCACACTGAATGGGGAGGGAGATCATCTTCAGAGGGTTCAGTCTTAGCCCTTCCAGGACGCATTCTTAGGATCTGGTCCAGTAAGCCTCCTTTTGGAGGGAGGAGGTGGTAATCTTACGCTGAGAAGCCCTGCTTCCGAAAGCCTCTATTACTTGGGAAGCATATTGTCCCTCAGGCATGCTGGGGCAGACGAAACCGAGATTCAGTTCTGCAAATTACTAGGCCTTTCCTGTCACTCATCAGACGTAGCCCCCGCAGCCGGAGGGGTTTCCAGTTGTCAGGGCTTTTTGGTGCCTTTGTTTATCTCCTGCCAAGATGCTAACCTGTGGATACCTTTAGGAGGAGGACTGCCTCTTGTCATTGTGGGTTTCGATTCATCTTTCTCCTTGTCTCGTCTGCAAGTCCAGAGGGGGTGTGTCATCTCCTGATACTATTGGTTGTCGGAAAAGTCATGACGCATTTTTGCAACAAAAAACAAAAAGTGACGTTTCCAACAACCCAATATTATGAACTGGGTGGCCTCAGGCATTCATGATTTGTACAGGAATTGGGAATCTGGTCTCTTATTTGAAGACTTAAAGATGGCAGAAAAAATCAAGAGGGCCCTTTACAATGAAATGTTAGGCCACTGTACATTGGTCTTTCTTCTTAGGACTCATCTGAGTGTGGCCACGTCCTTCAGATGTCACTTTTTGATGTTTTTCATGTTAAAAGCTGAATGCCTCCAGAGTTGGCTCCTGAGGGCCCCAGAGGGAATTAGCACATGTTGTCATCTGCTCCTTGGTCTGGCCATGTCAGGAGTCTCAGCTCAGGGAAACTTGATGAGCCAGGGACATCCCGGGCAGAGTACTCAGTCCAGGGCTTCATGGCAGAGATTCCCAAGAAGGTGTCTGCCATCTGGCAGATGGACACCACTGACCATGGTCTCCTACCATCCCCAGTGTCCTCAAGGCCAAGTTACATGTTTCGTTATCTCATTCTCCTTCCCTTTAGGTCCCCAGATCTTTCTGAGTCTTTGTATTCGAAAGACAGATTCTGGTCTTAGATGATTCCAGCTCCTTGTAACCAAGACAGAATCTTGGTGCCTCACTGCAGGTAATATTCTGTAAAGGAATTTTTATTTTATTTTATTTTAGCATACCAAATCCAGAGCCATAATTGGACAAGTTTAATTGGAGTCATTTTTATTCACTACGTGGATGAAAAAGTGGTTTTTAAAAAACTGAACATGTAAAAGGGGGATTAATTACTGTTCGCACAAGAACCAGAATTTCATGACAGGAAACATTCTTCAGAATGAAGTTTTCTAGGTTCTTGGGTAAAGGGGACTTTCCTCTTTTTATTTATGCTTCCATTAGGATTTTGAAGGAATGTCAGCGCACTGTTATTAATTCTAATAGCTTGCACATCACAGCCAGGATGGTTTGGGGCCCTCTGGCTCTCAGGTTACCTGTGTAAATACAGGGATTCACTTCCCAGATCTACCGTTTGCTTAATAAGGAGCAAATGTGCAGAACCCAGCAGCAGCAGCCCGGCAGAGCAGTAACCTGAACAGGATAAGCATGCTTCCTTTTTGTGTGATGCTCTCTCCGTCCTCCTGCCAAGAGCAGGGTATCAAATGAAGGGAGGCTGTGGCTGGAGTCAGGAAAGTGAATGTCTAAGAGGCACCTGCTGCATTCAGCAGAGCTGCTTCCCCAGGGCCTCCCACTGCACAGCTGCTCCTCACAAAGCCGCTTTTCTCCTCCCGTGGGTCAGACTGAGAGCAGAGGCCCAGCAAGGAGACATATTGGTTTGGCTTTGTCAGCACAATTGCCCGTGACGTTATAATTACAGCAAATCTTCATTATTAGAAAGGCCCCACTTTAGAAATTTGTTTCAGAGCCTCAACGGGGCTTTCGTAGTGAAATTGATAAAAAACATCTTTTCTGCTGTAAAGCTAGCAGTTGGATCTGAGAATCATTGAAGGGGGTCTATATATGGAAACTGAGACAGTGCCCTGAGCGAGACTACAAAGCGCCTGCTATCAGATTGGCTCGGAAAGAGGCCTCCAGCAATTCTTCTGCCTTTGCCGGGCCCGGCCTCTCCTCACTGCACAGAGTGCTGTAATGTATAGCTATACCGTATTGTTCTCAAGTGCTGATGAAGGTTCTCACCTGGAGACAGTGGCCGGAGGGTGGGGCTGTTAAAATAAGTTGATGAGGTAGGTAGGGCAGCAAAGGAAGAAAACCTGTGATGTAAATAAGGGAGATGCCAGGAAAATATTTTTTAGGTGAATGCAGAGCAGCATCCAATTGCAGATTGAGTTTCCCATCCAAAGGCAGCTCTTACCATGTTCTGTAGTGTGTGTGCGTGACTGACGCTCGTTGATGATGCTCTGGAGAGGCTATCGAGCTGCGACCTGGCTATGTAAACGTCAGTGAACTAAAACCCAATAAAATGGAAAGATTCAGTTCCTCTCTCACACCGGCCACATCTCAGTGCTTTGGCCACCATATTGGCCAGCGCAGAGGTAGAACATGTCCATTGTCACAGAGTTCTAGTGGGCAGCACAGTTTCAGAGGTTGGTCTGAACCTCGAAAGGTCTCAAATGCTTCAGTAAGCCTTGGAGTTTCTGTTTCAGCTTTGTTGGAAGGGGGAAAAGGAGTGCTTGAACATTTTTGGCACACCTCCTTCCAGCCATGTTACTTAGCCTGTGATCTGCACCTCTGTACTGTTAAATTGCTTTCCTCCAGGAGTCTCATGCCCTTTCTCCACCACTTCCCCCACCCTTGCAAAATAATAACAATAATAATAATTATTATTATAATCATAATCATGAGTTGTAACCATGAGAAAGGACCTTAATTTTAGGGCTGTCTGCTCTCAGCTGCCCTGCTCCCTGGCCCTCCCTTCCTTAAGCTTTCGCGGTTCTACGACTTGACTGGAAAGTACTTTCCTCCATAAACAGTGCTTCTGACTAACAAGAAGGCATGTGAACACTCAGGGCCAAAAGGGTGTATTTGAATTGTTCGTTTTCTGCACAACATGGAGTGTGGACCACTCTCCTAGGCTGGCACGCCGAGCGGGTGGCATACCGTCCGTTCTCAGCCACTGCGGGGACCCGGGCAGGACCTTTCATCTCGCCTCCATGTGTCTGCCTCTAGGAGCTGCTACTCAGTTGCTTCGTTCCTGAGCGAGAACCTATATGAAATAACAATACTACCTCAAATTTAGATAGTATCTTTTTTTCTCAAGAACTTAAATCATGTAAATTTAATGTTACTTATCCTCATAGCAACCCGATGAGACAGAAGTGGCCTGTCGGTTTTATAAATATAAATATAGT